CTACACTCATAGGAGAAAGCAAAGTGAACCTACTTGTAAAAGATGGGAAGAAAGCAGAGAGGCTTTCTGGGAATAAGTAAAAAGGAGTCATTGCTAGAACATAAGCCAAGTGCAGAGGTGAAGTCTGTGGAGTCTGGAGTCAGGCACCCTGCGTGCACATCCTTCAGCAGTTTCACCTCTGACTGGCTGTGACCTTGAGCATGTGACTTGACCGCTCTGGATCTAGTCTCCTAACTTGTAAAAGAGAGGTAGTAATACCCTCACCTCATAGAGTTGATATGAAGATTAAATAATGCATTTAAAATGCTTAGAAGCACCTTATAAGTACTAGTTATGTCTATTATTATCCCACTGTCCTACATTTTTTTTTTAAGTTGGATTTTCACTCTGTCACACAGGTTAGAGTGCAGTGGCACACTCACGACTTACTGCAACCTCGACCTCCTGAGCTCAGGTGACCCTTCTGCTTCAGCTCCCCGGAGTAGCTAGGACTACAAACGTGCACCACAACGCCTGGCTAATTTTTTGATTTTATGTAGAGATGAGATTTTGCTATGTTGCCTAGACTGGTCTTGAACTGCTGAGCTCAAGCCATTCTCCTGCTTCAGTCTCCCAAAGTGCTGGGATTATAGGTGTGAACCACCATGCCTGGCCTGTCCTAAACTTTTACATGTACAGGACTGTACAGGAGAATTAAAGCATAAAATAGAATGGTACACTTTGCAGGCATTGTGATCTCTCCATCATCAAACACATTCCCAGTGATACTTGCCTTACTTTCCTTTCCAGCAATAACTTCAGTAATAGGCAAATGAGTATAATGCAGACATCTCATTCCATGAGATCCTAATGAACTGAAATTTCATTATAATGGGCAGAATTAGAATTTCCTCTCTATCTCATGTTAACAAAACATACATTTTTCTAGGCCCATTTTTTCATGTGTATGCACATCACACACACACACACACACACACACACACACACACACACACAGTCATTTTGAAATATTCTTGTAACATTGAAATGTTGAAAGAACTTGCAAAGGTTATCTAGTCCATCTGAATTTGGCCAATCTTCAAAATCACTAAGGGAACTTTAAAAAAATATATTATTTAAAAAGTTTTTTGATTTGGGGTCCACATATGTTTGTTACATGGACGTATGGTGTAGGGTGGGGATTGGATCTCAGGTGAACATTGTACTTTATGAATCCCGTGTCCCCTTTCTGCCTCCCTTTCTTTCGGTGTCCCCAGTGTTTATTTCCATGGTTGTAACCATTTAGCTACCACATATAAGTGAGAGCATGTGGTGTTTGGTTTTCAATTTCTGAGTCAGTTCACTTAGGATCCATCCATGTTGCTGCAAAGGACAGGATTTCATTATTTTTTATGACTGCATAATATTACATGGTATCTTTATACCACATTTTCTTTATCCAATCAATTGTTGGTGGGCACTTAGGCTGGCTCCATGATTTTATTATTGTGAATAGTGCTGCAATAAACAGAGGAGTATGGGTATATTTTTATATATTGATTTATTTTCTGTTGGGTAGATCCCTAGGAGTGGGGTTGCTGGATCAAATAATAATTCAATTTTTAGTTCTTTGAGAAATATTGTTTTTCACAGAGGTTGAACTAGTTTACAGACCCATCAACCATGGATGAGCAACTAAGGAAACTTTTAAAAAGTAAAATTCAGGCTGAGAGTGGTGGTTCATGCCTGTAGTCCCAGCACTTTGGGAAGCCGAGGTGAGAGGATTCTCTGAGCCCAGTAGTTATAGACCAGCATGGGCAACATGGCAATAAATAAAAAATTAGCCGGACATGGTGGTGCACGCCTGTAGTCTCAGCTGCATGGAAACCTGAGGCAGAGAGATCACCTGAGCCCAGCAGGTTGAGGCAGTGGTAACCATGATTGTGCCACTATACTCCAGCCTGAGTAACAGAGTGAGACTCTGATTCCAAAAAAAAAAAGTAAATTTTTTTTGCCCCCAACTTAGAGATTCTGATCTCAGGGAAGAAATTGGGACCCAGGACTAGGTATTTTTGAAAAACTCCCTGGAGTTTCCACTCATGGCTAGACTGTGCACCACCGATGCAGCCACAGCTCCCTGACTGGCACTTGAATTGGCTCCTGCCTGAGCCACTCCTTCTAGTCTCTACTCTCCTCACTCTGTCACTTCCTGGTAAACATGTGTACAGTGTCTGCCATCTGCTCTAACTCCTTTCAAAAGTCATAGAGTGCAGCCTTCCCTTGAAAAATTAGGTTGAGGAGTCACCACTCCTGCATTTGCAGACTTTCCCAAGGCTGTCCTTGACAGAGCTTGGAGTCCCTGGAGTCCTGATGAGGCAATGCAAGAGGGCAGGTCAAAAAGACCAGTCCTTGGATCCTGGCTTTGTCACACTTAGGCAAAGAGTAGCTCTTACCTTCTAGGTTGTGTGAGGATTAAATGAGATAATGCATATTAAGGTAGACCACCTTATGGTAAGCACTTGACAAACCTTAGCTTAAACAAAGTGCAGCAGCTCTAAAGGGCATCAGAAGAGGAGAGAAAAACCCCTTTCTCTGTGTGGCCAAGTCTCTTCTGGTCCCCTCCAGGTCTAGGACATCTTCCAAAGACTTCACCAATGTTGGTTTTTTTTTTTGGTCTGGTCTCAAGCAATGACTCCAAGTATCTAACTTTACCTAAGGCTCTTTTCTTGATTGTTTTGCCTATATTTTTAAAGGAATTTTTTTTTAATTTGTAAAAGTTGTTTATCAATGTGATTACAAAGCACATTTCATTCTGAGACTTGGGAGTTATAGGTTAAATAGATGCCCCAAGTAGATTTTCAATTATTCGGTCCTTTCTTATTTAATTAACTTATTGATTAAGCATCTTGTTTCTTTGAGCAGTGGTAGTGTCTCTTTCAGCAAGTGATTTTGCATTTCAAAAGCTCAAGACCTCCAGAGACATGGCCAGCTTTTCCACAGCTCTCTCAGGGGTCTGTCCTGCTGATGTGGGAATCTGGTTCACAGCAGAGCAGTCTATGTGTGGGAACAATATTGTGCATTGGCAACTGTAGGCTTGCCCTGGGGGAATATGACCAGGGAAAACTTAATGGGACTCTAATTCCTGGGGCAACATAGCATAGAGGTTGTGGACATGGATGTTTGTCGAAAAGTACAGAGCAATCTGAGAGCGCAGAATACGTTGGCCTGGCTGGGGCATGGGGACTGGGCATGAGAGTGGTAGGAGATGAAGCTAGGAAGGTGAGTAGCAGTTAGATCCTGAAAGGCTTAGAGTCCCAAGTTGAGGTGTTTATTTTATTTTATTTCTGAGTCGGGTGTAGGAGTAGGTTGCCCAGGCTGGTCTGGAACTCCTGGGCTCAAGGGAACCTTCCACTTCAGCCTTCCAAATCACTTGGATTACAGGTGTGAAGCACTGTGTCCAGCTTCATACTATGGAGTTTAGACTTTGTCTTCAGGCTGATGGAGAATCACTGAGGTTTTTAGCTTTTTTTTTTTTTAAGCAGGAGGGTAACATGGCCATATTTGCATTTTATAAGATCACTCTGATATTAGCAATGCTTCTAGAACTTCAGTGTTCATAGATATCATGATAACATGCAGGTCCTGATTTAGTAGGCCTGGGGTATGACCTCAAAGCGTGTTTATTTATTTATTTATTTATTTGAGTCAGAGTTTCACTCAAGTGGCCCAGGCTGGAGTGCAGTGGCACGGTCACAACTTACCACAGCCATGACCTCCTGGGCTCAGGTGATCCTTCTGCTTTAGCCTCCGAGTAGCTAGGACTATGGGTTCATGCCACCAGGCCTGGCTAATTTTTAAATTTTTTTTGGTAGAGATGAGGTCTCGCTATGTTGCCCAGGCTGGTGTTAAACTCACTATCTCAGGCAAGCCTCCCGCCTTGACTGCCCAAAGTGCTAGGATTACAGGCATGTGCCACCATGCCTGGCCAAAGCCTGCATTTCTAATAAACTACCAGGTGATGCTGATGCTGCTGACCTGTGGGTAATACTTTGATTATCAAGTAAAGTAGCATTAGGAGTCACTTAAATTTAAATGTTTCTTGAACTTTAGGGGCATCAGAATCATCAGGAAGGATGGTTAAACCCAAGTTATTGGGCCTGGCCCCTACAGTTTCTGATTCAGTTGCTCTGACTGGGACTCTAACAAGTTCTTGTGTGATGCTGGTGACCTGGGAACCCCACAGAGAGCTAATGAAGTGGAGGGTTGATGGATGGAGAGTAAGACGTAAGGAGAGGAGCCCGTCAGGAGGCGGTAACTGGAGCCCTGGTGCAACAGGTTGAGGGCTAGGTCTAAGGCAAATACTACTGGGAATGGAAGGGAAAGGGCAGATCACACCACTAAGTGATGCCAACAGGACTTGATGACATTAGCTGCAGGGATAGGGAGAAGAAGTGCTGAAGAGGCCTTGTCTCTGGCCTGAGATACGCAGTGCACACAGGCCTTTCCCACCAAGACAATAGATACAGCAGGAGGAGTAAACTTGGCATAGTCAAAGATGCTGGATTCACTTTAGCCATTAGGAATGTGCCAAAGGGGATTGATCTGTGGGGGAAAGTGGGCAGTAGGGGAGAGGATTGTCTGCATAGGCACCAGCCTGACTGGTGCACATTTGCCGTGTAATTGCAGACAACTTAACATATCTCCATGTGCTTCATTCTCCCTGACCACAGGATCAGGCTCTTTTGCCTTTTCTCCTTCCAGGGATGGGACAAGGATTGCAATGACGCATGTAAAGCTTATTAAGTCCATAAAAAAGGAGACATTTTATTATTGAACTTAAGCCTCTGTCTTTTCCTCCCAAAATGACACGACAACATGCTCACTGTATTCTGGACAGTAAACTCTCAGCATGGACCCAAGGCTGTTTTCTGTCTTCTCATCACACTCCCGCCCACCCTGGGAGATCATTTGATGTTTTAAAAACACTTGAAATATTTCATTAAAAAAATAACATGACTCACCTGGACCTTTGCTCAAGGTTTCATCAGGCAATATGGTTAGATGGTCATGGTCATCATTCCTTGGGATGCTTGGAAGGATTTTCTTGGCATTATGGTCCCTCAGGTTTTGCTTATGAATTCTTGCTTCCCTGTGAAGACTTTTCTTCAACTCCATTTGGGCCTGAAAAGAATCGGCTATAAATGATGAATGTTCTTCCCAAGCTACCTTCACCAGAATAGATCCACAGATCAGCCACTTTGCAAGTTGTATACTTATTTGTAGACATCTACAGTACCCTAACCAGAACATGGTTTTCCTTTTCCTATTAGAAAGCATGGAAACTTTCCTTATTCACAGGCTTATTAGGAGAAAGGTAAGTGTGACCATAGTCTCAAAAAGGAATGCCTCAATTTAGAAAAGGACCCTTACAAAAGTGTTTTTCTGTAGTCTAGCTGATATGTTTGCAGAGATCAGTACCTACAGGCTCATTTCTAGAGGGAGAATGTGGAATATGACAGTTACAGGACATTACTGGCAAAGGGGCTTGTTACAAGAGGTCTTCCTGGTAAGATAATTCTATGGCATAAATTATAGAGGCCTAGGCACAAAAATAAAGAATAATTCATCTCCTCCCCTTTTACTACGACAAGAAAAATGATCTAGCCCCATTTATCTATGTCTAGAATGTCATAGGAGCAACCTGTTTTTTTAAAAAAAGACTTAGCCTGGGCAACATAGCGAGACCTTGTCTCTTTAAAAAATAATCAGCCCGGCACAGTGGTGCATGCCCGTAGTTCCAGGCTATTCGGGGGTCTGAGGTGGGAAGATGACCTGAGCCCAGGAGGTTGAGTCTGCAGTGAGCCATGATCACGCCACTGCACACCATCCTGGGTGCCAGAGTGAGACCCCGACTCAAAAAAATAAAAATAAAATAAAATAAAATAGACATAAAAAAGAGGACTTGAGACACAGACACATTCTCAAGAGAATAGAGAGAAGACTCAACAAAGAAGTTAGAACTTCCTGATTCTTCCCAGCTTTGGTAGTTGGACCCTCAGTGCCAATGACTAAATGTAAAGACTGGATGTGTATGCTTGACTGTATTCATGCCAGGGCAGTGATGACATGGCATAAACTTGGTAAATATGCTCTTTTCTTCTTTCATATTTACCTCTTGTCTTTCACGGTTCATTTCCAGCATTTGCATCTTATGCAAATATTGTCTTTTCCCAGATGTATATGTTAGGATTGGCATTTTCTTTTCTAGCTCCTGCTGTGAAAGACAACACACCAATTAGTATGAAGTAATTTGTTACTGACTCTGAAGTCCACAACGTTAAATCCTTTTTGAAAAAGAGTGAGATCTTAATCAATCATAATCCATGGATATCTCTTGTGATGAAAGGTGGACCTTGGGTGTCCCTGACAAAACTCTTGTGTCGTGATCAGTGAATGAAGTGGCAATTTGCTGTGTGTATAATGTAGTCTTTAAGGTTCCTGTAGAGTTTTGTAACTTTTAAGTGGAAACATCTCACATTTCATTTTTGACAAGATATCACTTCCTCTGTCAATAGATGCTTATTGCTATCTCCCCAGAAATGTGCTCTGGTTTGATGAAACCTTCCTTTTTTCTCCCTGCCTCTTTCACCATTGACTGATTGGCTGGTTATGAAACGAGAGAGAAGCCACTGAATGGTTAAATGGAAACTATTTCCATAGAGTGTACCTCCATATGCCACTTTAAGTCCTGGAGAGTATTGCAGTTTAGGGAGGATTTGAAGTTGATTATTTGTGACTCTTATGATCTCCCCCCGCCCCCCGTTGCATCATAAACTCCAGTAGGACGCTGCAAATAGATAGTGAGGGAAACCAGAGCTGAATTTACCTTCATCTGTCACTTGCTATTGCCAGGAAAGGGGAGGGATGTATTCAGTGATACATTTGTGTTGCCCTGTGGACAGTGACTGCCAGTCGTTGTGAGCCTCAAGGAGTGGCCCAGCTCCACAGGTGCTGTCAGCACCACAGATGTGGCCTTGAGGATCTGACAGGACCTGGACATCTTTTACCAAGTCAGCCAGCTACACAGCAGCATCTAGCTAGCTCCAAAACAAATTAGGAGTGAGTGAAAAATGTTGAAAATCAGCTCCTACCTCACAGCTTTCGTTTCTATGTGAAAGGAGTTCTACTCAGAGAATGTTACAAGAACCCAACAGAGAAACAACACACAGAAATCCTTTCCCAGGATACCTGTGGGTAGAGTTGTGGTGAATAAGTCAGGAACAACTTATAGATAAGATTTCTCAGCTGGGAGTGGTGGCTCATGCCTGTAATCCCAAGCACTTTGGGAGGCTGAGGCAGGAGGATTGTCTGAGGCCATGAGTTCAAGACTAGCCCGGGCAACATAGTGAGACACTCTCTATTTAAAAAAAAAAAAAAAAGATTTTTCTGGCAAACTGGGAATGAAGAGAAAGTCTTAAACCAAGGGGAGGAATGAAAGAGAAGAGTCATGTTGGATTTTTCATAGCTTTGAAAACTTCTAGAATCACCTGTCTCCAAGTAAAATTCTCTCTCATCTACATTGCCCTGTTTTCAGCACAAAGCCGATAAAGGCCCAGAGATCATCCAAGAGCTAAGAGCATTGTCAGTTGGAGGCATAAGCAGGAGAGAATGAATAGCTTTGAAAAGTTCTAACTCTGAATGACTTAACAGTTTGATTTGTCTTTGAAATCTTCTAGGCAGGGAGTACATGAAGGGCCAGCTTACCCCACCCTTTGTAGCTGCTCCCAGGTAACCACCCCCTCGATTACTGCCTCACTCACCTTTGCTTTGTGCCTTGTCCTGGCTTCTCGCTGGCTCAGGAACCTTTCAGAAGTAATTACTTGTGGCAAGTCAATGGGTTCAAGCTTCTAGAAGTTCAACATTTAGAGCAGTCAGCATTTCTCATGCCATGAGATGATGAAACACAAAAGCCAGACATTAAACTATCTTAGCACTTTGCAAAACCAGCACTTATTCCTGAAAGCACAAAGGAAAGGAGACTCCAACAGTATTGCGATTACATCAGTGCAAAAGGCTTTCCTGTCTATCTAGCTTCTTTATTCTTCCGTTGCAATGTTGCCAGTGACTTATTGATTTAAATATTGGTCAGAGAGTTAAGAGAGAAAGAATCCTTTTCTGTCCACATCGAGGGACCACGTCCAAAGTTATCAAACAACCATGGTGATAGAATAACAGAGATAAAAGAGGCACCAGGAAGTTATTTTATTTTACTCTTTACCCAGCTGAATTATCCCAGTCCATAGGAAGTAATCTGTTTTTAAGATCTCTAGAGAAGTTCCATCAGCCTGCTCGTAATCACCACAGATGATTATAAAACACATTTAAAATGAAAGTGCGACCAAGCTCAGTGGCTCATGCCTGTAATACCAGCACTTTGGGAGGCTGAGGTGGGAGAATTGCTTGAGCCCGGTCATTCAAGACCAGCCTGGGCAACATAGCTAGACTCCATTTTTACACAAAAAATTAAAAAATTAGCCGGGTGTGATGGTGTGCACCCGTAGTCCCAGCTACTTCGTGAGGCAGAAGGATCACCTGAGATCAGGAGGTCAAGGCTGCAGCGATTCCTGTTTGCGCCACTGCACTCCAGTCTGGGTGACAGAATGAGACTCCGACTCAAATCAGTAAGTAAGTAAATAAATGAAAGTACAATTAAAACAAATTCTTAGGGATGTATTTTTCCATTGGGGCTTGGCTTTATTGGGGAGGATCATGTTGGGGTTTCAGTGGTCACTAAGACGGGGTAGCAATTCATGTCAGCAGGTCTACCTCTAGCCCTTCTTGCTTCAGAAGCTGAGCACTGAGAAGTGACCCAGTAGGCTTAGGAGGCAAAGGTTAGTCTCTTCATAGTGACATGCACTGAGGGACTTGGAGGTCCACAGAATATATTTGTTCCTTCAGTGAGTACTTACTGAATGACTGCTACATGCCAGGCATGGGAATGCAGTAGCCAACAAAAAAGGACATGGTCCCTCTTGGAGCTTACAGTCTATGGGCAAGAGATACACTTTTGCTTGTGGGATTATTTGACTGATAATTACAAACAGTGGTCGGGCTTTGAAGAAAAAGTCTACAGTATGAAAAAGTCATACTGAAGCAGAGTGAGCCTCTAATTCCATATGACTGGTGTCCTCATAAAAGGGGAAATTTGAACATATACACCCACAGACACCCAAAAGGCAGAGATTGGGGTGATGAAAAATCCAACCTTGGAAAGGGGATGTTATAGGTTGAATGTGTCCCCTCTTCCATATTTATATGTTAAATTCCTAACCCCAAGTACCTCATGATGTGACCTTATTTGGAAATAGGGTGACTGTAGATATGATTAGTCAAAATTAGTATGATTAGTCATACTAGAGTAGACTGAGCCCCTAATTCAATATGATAGTGTCCTCATAAAAAGGGGAAATTTGAACACACACACACACACACACACACACACACACACACACATACACACACACACACACACGCACGGAGAGCACCATGTCAATATGAAGGCATTGATTAGGGTGATAATTTTTCAAGCCAAGGAATACCAAAGATTGCCAGGAAACCATCCAAAGCTAGGAGAGTGACATGGAGCAGATTCTTCCTCACAGTCCCCAGAAGGAACCAAACAGCTTGATCTCAGACTTCCAGCCTCCAGAAGTGTGAGACAATACATTTCTGTTGTTTAAGCTACCCAGTTTGTGGTACTTTGTCACAGTAGCCTTAGACAACTAACACAGGAGAGAAAGGGCTTAGGAGGTAGTCCCAGAAAGTTTTCTGGGGAAGAATTTTTCAGGAGAAATGGGAAGGAAAGAAAACATGATCTGTTGAAGGAAGGAAAGAAAACATGATCTGTTGAAGAAATGGAAAGAAATCAGTTGCCTTCAGTTCAGAGTGAGGAAAAGAATGGCCCAGAATGAGACCGGGGAGGCTGGGGGTCACGTGTGTGGGTGTGGGGCCCAAGAGGCCATCCTAAAGATGCTGGTCTCAAAAGAGCAATGGGAAGTCACTGGCATGTATTAAACAAAGGAGTGACACGATTACATCTGTTTTTAAAAAGTCACTCTGGCAGCAGTGTGGAAACTAGAGAGGAGCAATTATGGATGTGAGGAGATCAGTTAAGAGGACCAAGATGATGGACTGGGGTTGAGGGAGTAAAATTGATGGGCTCTCCAAGTATTTAAACCTTACCAAACAAGATTCGTTCTGGCAAGTGAAGGCAAGTAGAGTCCCTAACTAGCACCCCACCCTAATACAGAGGGTGGATGGTGTTACTGTTCACTGAGATGGAGAATCCTAGAGCAGGACTCAGTTTGGGTGGGCTACAGAAGGAAGATACACATTTGGTTTTGAGCAGGTTGGGTTTGAGAAACCTTTGGGACATGCCAGTGTAGATGTTGTGTAGATGCTGAGTGTCAACTTTAGGCCGTTCTCCCTGGAGCAGGTCAGGTACAGGACCAGGGACCAGGAAATGGTTTCACAGGGCTAGTGGGAGACCTGTGTCACACTCAGAGGAAAGAGGTCTGTACTTGAGGTTTTGGGGAATCATCCCTGGGTAGAGCATGAGTGAAGCCAAGGTCACGGACAAGGTCAGGAGTGAGAAGAGCAGAGCCAAGGACAGCAGACAAAGTTGGGAGGTTGGTGGATGGGGATGAGTGGGCCAAGGAGACTGGGGAGTGATGGCTTGAGAAGTAGGAGGAAAACCAGGAGGCTGCCATGCTGCAGCCAACAGTGTGAGCACCACTCCTACCTTAGCCCAGCGAAGGCAAATGGTAATTTATTTAAACATTGTTTCTCATTTTGGTGTGATTTGATGCATTTTCAGGGAGTAGACTCGGAAGCCAGCTTGGCTTTCCAGGTGACCAGGCTCAAATGAGGGAGTGGAACTATGGGAAATAGATGCTGTGTGTCCAGCACTTGTAGTGGGGAGCATGACCTGGGCCTCCCGCTGTACCCTGTAGAACCATTTCTTGTTCCCTGGTTCTGGATCTGACCTGCTCCGGGGAGAGCAGTCAGCAGTCTTTTCTGTTGGAGCAGCCTAAAGTTGACCTGGCAAGGAAGAAAAGAAGGGCACAGAACATGGAGACAAGGAAAGGACACCAAGGGAGCAGAACTCATCTTCACATTAGATATGAGCCAGGTAATTTGTGGTGTGAAGTGGTACTCTGTCCCATTCTCACTTCAGATGAGGAAATAGGTCTTTTAACATAATATACTTGTAAGAAAAGATTGTTTGTTTCCCAGCTCTCAACTATGTAGGACATGAAGATACAAAGCAAATAGGACCTGCTGGTGCTGGAGGCAGCAGCTGATCAAGACAAAACATTGCAAGGAGTGGGAGGGAAAGGAGGGGGTAAAGCCAACTCTTGGGCTCAAGCGATCCTCTTGCCTCTGCCTCTTGAGGAGCTGGGAGTACAGGCACATCTGGATCCTGTGGAAGTAAGAGTCAGCAATAACTAAAGGGGGATTTCTGGAGGTGGAAGAGAACAATGGACTTTTTTTGTGACATCCGCTGGACAGAGGGAGTGTTCAGGATTTCGTTCTTTCTGATTTGGCCTATATTACTTTAAAGTCATTATTGCACATTATGCCCAGAGTTATCAGCATGTCATCTCACTCAATCTTCGTGTGGACCCTATGGAAGATAATGATTATTCATAATGACCTATCCAAGGTTGCACAGCTAGAAAGTGACATTTCCAGGATTCAAGTTCAAGTCTGTCCAGTTCCAAATCCTATGTTCTTTTCTCCACTATTTGTTGTCCAAAATGGTTTATCATCAGAATCTTCTGAAACTGGCCAGGTGTGTTGGCTCAAACCTATAATTCTAGTGCTTTGGCAGGCGGGAGGAGTGCTTGATCCCAGGAGTTTGAGATCAACCCGGGCAATATAGTGAGACTTCCATCTCTATAAAAATTCAAAAAGAAATAGCTGGGGTATGGTGGCATGTATCTGAATTCCTAGCTATTCAGGAGGCTGAGGTGGGAAGATCACTTGAGCCTAGGAGTATGAGGCTGCAGTGAGCTGTGATCGTGCCACTACACTACCACCTGGGTGACAGAATGAGACTCTATCTCTCTGAAAAAAGAAAGAGAGAAAAAATAAAATTAAAAAAGAAGATGGAATTAAGAAAAAATTCCTGGGTCATTGAGCCATTCACCGGAGACTGAGATTCAACACGTCTGGGTTATGTCCTTGGAATATATATTTTGCAAAACCCTCCTAGAATTCTGATGATTTCTTTGTAGGTTGGGGTCTATTGGCCTCCACAATTTCTCAAGCGAATAAAGGAGCACATCAAAATACACCACAGAGGACTTGTTTGTGAAGTATTGAATAATTTAGTCTGAAAAAGCCAAGATCTTTGAGCTATTTAAAATTATCTACTCTTAAATTCTTAGGCCAGGTTTTTGCTTTGATAGTATGAATATACAGTTAATCACAGACTTTAGTCCCTCCTCAGTCTTTTTATTTAAACATACAGTTCTGATAAGGGTTAACTGGTGATTATCTTCAAGAACTCTCTCGAGTCAGTGACTTCCTTTCTGGACTTTGCAAAGAACCTACAGAATCATGCTATAGTTCTTCACAGTAGCCATTAGATGGCAGCAACTAACATCGCAAATAGGATCACTCCGTTAAATCACTTGTGCTTGATCCGAGAAGCACTGCAGAAAAAATTGTGAAAATTGGCTTTACATAAATAAACCAGTCAAATGAAATTGCCTCAGAATTCTGGGTTTGTGTGCATGTCCCTTTTCTTGACCTGGGGAGTAAGAAGCTTCATTTCATCATCTTCAAAGAGAACACAATGGAAGAGTTACTGGAGATTTGGTAGAATGACAGTTTTTTGTTT